ACAGGCATATTTTTTCACAGCATTTCTGAAAAATGCCATTAGTTATACCTGTGAATACATGTTAGATTTAAACCCCTGGTGAGAATTTTTATTAACATACAAATATGTTAGGGCTCTTATGCTGCTTAAAATGTAATTAACCATCTTCTGAAGATTAAGGGTGCATAATCATAAAAGAAGTGCACTCTTGTGCATTTAATTCTTCTAATCTGCTTTATGTTGATGTTAGTGTGGAAGAATAATCGCTAGTTTGCCTAAATAGTTTGGGTTTGTGCTGTAGGAAGAAATTGTTATAGGATGTACTTCTAAACTTAAAATTTGGTAGGCTTACAGTGACAGAGGATGATGAAGTGCACAGAAAGATTAGGAAAAAAATGCTTCTTTTATTCTTTTGCTGCCGTTGCAAATGCCCTGCAGTGGTAAAGCTGTGTTTCTGACAGTTTCATTCAGGAGACGAAAAGGAGGAAGGGACAGGCACACCCAGTGAATGACAAAGATAAGAGCAATAAACTTGCAGCAGTCTCCTTAACCACTAATTTAAACACATAATGTGTCATGTGGGGATTCAACAAGATTTTCTGAGAAGTATGTGGAAAATGAGCAACCAACACAAGGCAGAGAGACTTCTGATTTGCTGTGTTGTAGTAAGAGTTTGTGAAATGGACTCTAAAAAAATCAATTAATGATTTAATGTTTTATGTGCTATTGGAGTAGTCAGGGGTGTCACAGTCCCCATGAAATGTCGATCAGGTTTATTTGAAAAATGGTGAAAACCTTCAAGGCCACAGAGTATGACTCTTCAGGAGCAGATTTTTCCTAGCAACATGATGCACAAAATCATTAGGTAACTTAGAGAGCTCCACAGAAAAATTTTTTGTTCCTCTTCCCTCCTAGTAGGACTTCTTGAAAACTCAGAAGAGATAAAGAAAGAACAGTGAAAACTGTGGGATGAAGACATTTGCTGATAGTCATGGCTGCATGACCACACACTAAAGTTGTGCAATAAGTGTGCAGCCTGCTCCTAACAGAGTCAGTGGGGCAGAAACTCCCATGGAAAACATGGGATGAAGAGTCCAGGCCACTCCTGCTTTTATGGAGGAGTCAGAGGGGATGGAGACTGGCTGGTGTTCCAGGAAGACCACCAAAGAAGCGAGTTTCCTCCTCACTTGAATAAGCAGTGGCCTGTAGGAAAAACAGCTTCCAAAATCCATTTTAAAAGCGGAAAAACAATTGCAAAGTCATTCAATTTTTTTTTTTTTTTTTAAGAATAAGTTATGTTAAGGGGGTCCTTTAGCACTCAGTTCTTTGTGGGGACAATAACATTTTGGAGCAGATTGTTGTGGCCGAGTGGACCCCCGCTCCAGGGCAGACTGGTGACAATGTGACTACAGGGAGCAGTGACACACAGCCCAAGAAAGGCTCCTTGGCTGCTTCTTGTTTGTTTTCATTATGTCCAAGTGAATGCAGAGGCATTATTGAAAGTTGCTTGTTTTCAGTCCAGCTTCCATCTGACAGGTGTGACAGGCAGCATGACAGGTTGTTCTGGGCCCTTCGCCATGCCGAGCTCTTGAGGCAAAGCTGCTCTCTGTGATTCCCCAAAGGAGGCAGCTGCCAGGCTCCTTGGGGCCACCTGTGCTCAGGGACCGGCGTGCAGCACGTCAGGGAAACCCTTCCTATGGAGGGCACACAGCTTTTCTCCCTCAGCACTGACAGGCAGCCACAGAGGCTGCCACCTGGGATGCAGGGGCAGGGGAAACTCCTGCTTCCCCAGTCAAAACCCAGCACAGAACTTCCCCAGGTTTTCCATCAGGCCCACAGACCAGGATGTTGCACAAAGACCACATTGCTTTTCTTGCCTTTAGCTGGCAGTCCTTTACAAAACTGCAGGGAAATACCCGAGGTTGTTAAAGCGTGAATAGTGCTTCAGATCCGTTTGATGTTTTGTCCCACTGCCTGCTTCCCCACAGCACTGGGTGCATCTCTGTTTCCACAGGCCAGCAGCACCAGCACAGAGCTGAAGGGTGCTGGCAGATCACAGCAGGCTTCAGCCACATGCATATCCTGGCTTCAATCTCAGCTTTTTAGAGAGGCATTAAGTAGGTTAAATCTTAAAATCATACTTAAAATTGCTGGCAAGTTGAGTGCTCAATTCCCTTAGGATTTTTGAGCAGGTGGAATATACATATCCCAGGTAATGTAAAAGACACCAGATTCCCATTCCCAGCTTGTTTAAGGACTGCTAGTGTGAACAACCTTGGACAAAGTGCATTTGAGAACCTGATTAATTCTGCTTGCCATTCAATCTTGCAACTAAATAAGACATGAAGCTCCAAACACAAAACCAGCCATTCTTCTGTTCTAACAGTTTGCTGTCAACACAAGACAATAAAATATGAATATTTTAGATTCATAATGCAGACAAATAGGAAATAGGAGCTGTATTGTGCTTTACATGCATGGCTAACTCAGTAATGCTAATGTGATTATCTCACTGAACTTTTGTGATGTCGCTTAAGGGTAACTTTGCCCTGCTTAGCTGGGGTATACGTATTTGTTTCACAAAGGCCTAATGTCTTTTTTAAGTTTGCAGAAATAAGGAAGCCTGATTTCCCTCATCTGTTACAAGGTAGCATCCTTTCTTGCCATTAAAGTATTGGGCATAAAAATCATAAAATTATAAGAATTTTTGGTTCTTGGAGAAGTAAGGATGGTGGCTAGCAGAACTGCCATCCTGGACTTCCAGGCAGATTTTTTCCTGTTTAAAAGATCAATTCACAGAGTCCTTTGGGAAGCAGTGCCAAGGAGTTCAGGAAGGGCAAGGGAGTTCAGGGAGGCTGGAGATTCTTCAAGAAGGAAATCTTTAAGGTGCAGGAGTAGGCTATCTCCAGGTGCTGAAAGCTGGCTGAAACTCAGGGAAAAAAAAGAGTTCATGACCTTTTGAAGAAGGGGCAGGCAATTCAGGAAGACTACAGAGATATCATGAGGTTTTCAGGGTCAAAACTGTAACTGAATTTAGAAAAACATCAGAAATAGAAAAAGCCTAACTTAAACTTAATTTGGCTACTACAGTCAAGAGCAATAAAATATGCTTCTACAAGTACAAAAGGAGAATCTTCATCCTTCACTGGATGCATGGGGAGACATAATGACAAGAGATGAGGAAAAGGTTGAGGTCCTTAATGTCTTTTTTGCCTCAGTCTTTAATAATAAGACCAGTTGTTCTGTGGGCACCCTGAATTGAAAGACAGGGACAGGGAAATGGTCAGCAACATGCTATGCTACTCAGGCAGACACATGTCTATGCAGTCAGATAGGACCCAGAAGAGGATCGTGCAGGAGCTGGCTGAGGTGCTCCCTGATCCCCTTTCATTCATTTATCAGCAGTCCCAGATGACCCAGGAGGTCCCAGGTGACTGGAATTTAGCAAATGGTACACCCATCTACAAGAAGGGCTGGAAGGAGGATAGGGGAACTGCAAGAAAAGAAGAAAATCCTTGCTCAGCCAAGCCATCCTTCTGCCCTGCTTGCCATTTCCTTCTCCCGTGATTTTAGGAGATGGCTCTTCAAAGAGGACCAGCACTCATGGAGCACAGGACCTCCAAAAGCAGCTTCCCAAGGGACTATCTGGGCTTGCTTCTTCAGCAGCCCAGATTCTGTTCTCCCCACATGCATGGTCAAGGTTTTGCTGGCAATTGTGTGTACATTTGACAGAAATGCTCCACAGACTAAGTGAGTGATGGCTGTCTGTATGTCTGTCAGATAAATGGGGAAAGTGGTAAAGTGTTTGTTAATGGGAGACTTGGTATGATGTAAATGCTGTGGGTTAAGGAGTGGATATTGTTCTGGTTTCAGCTGGGAATACAGTTAATTTCTTGGCAGTAGCTCGTTCAGTGCTGTGTTTTAGATTCAGTAGATGACAGTTCTTCTTGTAGATGACAATGATGCTGGTAACACACTGATGTTCTGGTTGCTGCTAAGTGTCATGTTTATCCAAAAATCAAGGACTTATTGTGCCCCGTGCTCTGCCAGTGAGGAGGTAAAAAACCCACAAACCCAAAAAGCTGGGAGGGAGGAGCACAGTTGGGACAAGTGTCGCAAACTGTCCAGAGGGATATCGCATAGGCTGTGATGGCCAGTATATAAAATGGGGGAGTTACCTGGAAGGGGAGCTGATGGGTGTTTGGGAAAGGGTCTGACATTGGTCAGTATGTGGTGATCAACTGAATTGTGCATCACTTGTTCTTATTTTGTTTTTACTCTCCATTCTTATAAATTCTTCTAATTTACTTGCTTTCAACTGTTAAATTGTTAGATTGTTGTGTGATGCTGAACTGCCTACTGAGATTATCCCACAACAACAGGGAGTCCTGAAACCAGACAGCCCATTCTATCCTCAAGTGCTATATCCAGCCCACCCAGTAACTCTTCTGCAAAACTCTCCCTGACTCTGCAGCAGCTGAGCAGCCAGTACCCTATGCCAGTGCTCCCTGACAAAGTGATGCAGGGAGACTCACAGGTGAAGTGTTTTCTCAAATATATTATTTATTGCTATCTTTGTACCCAGTAAAGCTCACAGGAGGAATGGACTCTCTCAAAAAGGGCATTTGCAGGAGCTTCTGGAAGGCAGCAACATTAAATGCCACTTGGCAGTGAGCACAGCTGTGGAGGGTGACCAATTATTCCTATTTCCCCAGTGTAGGAACATGGACAGTGGGGAGTGGTAGCCAGGGAATCAGAGAAACCAGAGCCCACTGTCTCAGGTCTTCTACCAAATAATCTCCAGCTCTGTGGTAGCTGAGCAGCTGGATTCCATGCCAAAGTGATGCATGGATGCTCAGAGATAGTGTTTGTTCAAACACACCATTTGTTGTAAACTTTATGTCAATTAAAGGTCAAAGTATGGTTAGAATGATACTGGAAGTATTTTCCTATAAATCTAGCGATTCTACTCTTCTTGAGTACTATGATTCTATGATTCTGTGATTCTACAGTTGTCTCATTCATAGCCCAAAGTGATATTGCAGGTCATCAAGCTCCTTCAATGCCTCAGTCTGAGCAACTGGATCCTGTGCCAGGTGCTGAAAGAGGTTCAGGGGCTGTGCCTCATGGAAGGCTGGGGGCAAGGAGATCTCCTTGGGCATGTCCTCGTTGTCAAAGAAGAAGTGCTTGAGGCGTTTCTCCTCTACGCAACACTGCAGGTAGCACATGATGTCGTCTACCCGCATCAGGAAGTACTTGTGCTGCCATTCTGACAGAGGGATCAAGGTCAGGAGGTGCATGACCGTGGTTTTCAAGGCATAGATAGAAAGGCCTGAGTCCTTCAGAAGGCGAGCGCAGAGCCGCAGGCATTTGAGGTGGCAGCTGTGGGCTGGGGCCTGCATGGCGACATGCCTGAAGAACTTTGCCTCTGCCACAGCATAGCTCTCCAGCCATGTCGTGCTTGGGGGGATTTGGGCCTCTGTAGGCTGGCTGCTCAGGAAGATGTCCGAGTCACCTTGCTGCACACCAAATACTGTCTCCACGAAAAGGCTTCTCCCAGAGGCTTTCATCAGCTTCATCTTGCAGGAGCGGCAGGAGGGAAGCACCTTCATGCTGTAGTGATGGGACTGAGGCACCATCGACCAGGCTGAGATCACAAACGTCTGGAACCAGAGGGCAATTTTCTCCCCATCTAGGTAAGGGCCAGTGCAGAGGGTGTGTAGAAGGCTGGCTGCCTGATTTCTCTTCAACTCCTCCTCGGAGTCGTGGAGGAAGCACAGCACGTTCTGGTCAGGCTGCTTCCTGGTGCAAGTGCACACCAGCTCCACGCGGATGCGCATCCTCCTTTGTGGCACCTCCCCCATGGAGTCTGGCTCCAGGTGGAAGGCATGCCCACGGGGCGGCTTCAGGGGCACAAACATACGGTAGACAACATCCTCCTCCTTATGGGGACTCCATCCTTCACAGGCACTGCCCACCCCAATCGCTGGTTCCAGCACTGGGAAGAAGCTGTCTGAAAAGAGATTATGGGTGACCTGGAGAAGGTCACTCATCAGCTCCTGCACCACCTGTCTCTTAGCAGCCAGCTTCGGCACTGACAGCTGGAAGCGTTTTGAAATGATCCAGGTCATATTCGTCCGAGCAGGATTTTCTTCCTCACTTTCCTCACTTTCCTCACTGTCTGAGACCCTTCTGTTGTCCCTCTCATGGATCCCTTTCTTGAACCACCAGTAGAGTGCCAAGAGCACCACCAGGGCTCCAGCAAGGGCCCAGAACAGGCCTTGCAGCGCAGCAGCGCTGAGCACGGCTCCCCAGGAGCCGACACTCTGCTCCAGGGTCCTGTGGGCCATCTCCTGCTGCACCTGAGTCCTCTGCTGGTTGAGACCCTCAGCCAGGTACACATTGATGTAAAAGTGGATGCATTGCACAAACCAGAAGAGGAATAGTGTGACCATTATGACCTGCAAGAGAAGGGAGAGGAGTGCAGCGGTGCTGAGAGGTGAGGGAAGGAAGAACAGAGAAACGAAGGGAGCTGGCAGTGAGGGAAGAAGGGATGGGAGACAGAGGGCCGGAAGGAGGGGGCTAGGCAGCTGTCAGGCAGCAAAGGCTGTGCCCAGCCCCAGTGGTGCCACTGTGCCCTTTGCAAGGTGTGCCTGGGAGGGGCTGGGCCCTGGATGCAGGGCTGGAAGCACTCTCTTGGGTGGCTGTGTTTGTGGTCCTGCCCTCATCCAGCGCAGCATCTGGCCGTGTGTGTCCCCTCATCCAGGCTGTGTGTGCTCATCCAGGCTGCCCTGGGGCAGCGCAGCTTCCTGCTGCCATTTATACCTGCCCCTGACTGTGATGTTCCTTGTGATGTCACTGGCACCAGAGATGTCACAGGCAGGCCAGCTGTGATGGGGCAGCATTGCCTACATGCCCCTCTGGCACCAGAGACATCAGAGCCAGGCCAGTCCTGCCCTTCTTGCCCACTCCAGCTCAGACCCTCCCAATGGCCCCAAGAAACCAAAGTCCTGACACCCAACAAATGCAGACCCACTGCTCTGCAATGGCCCCCAGAGCCTCCTTTTACACAGCAGGACAAAGCTCCGCTGAAGCCTTGGCAAACATATAATTGGATGGTGTAGATTCCTGGGTGCATGTTCCTTGAGATCCCCTGTGGTGAGATGGGATTGGTTCCCTTGGCACTCATCTTTGTCCTTGTGGAAGTGCTCTTGGTGCCTTTGTGACACCCCTGTGTGTGGGGTACAAGAGAAGGACTTGGGGGTTCTCATGGATGCAAGGCTGGCCATGAGCCAACAGTGAGCATTCATAGCGCAGAAAGCCAGCGAAATCCAGGGCTGCTTCAAAAGAAAGGTGGGCAGTAGGCTGAGGGAGATGCTTCTGCCCTCAGCAGGACAAGAATGATGTGTGGAGCTGTTGGAGAGGGCCTAGAGGAGGCCATGAAGATGGTCAGAGGGCTGGAGCCCCTGTCCTGTGAGCACAGGGATGGAGCAGCTGCTCCATGTGGTGGGGCTGGTCCCCATGAAATGGAGAGCCCACATGGTGGGCCTGGTTTTAACAAAGTGGTAAAATCTCACAATATGGCATACAGACTTGTTTAAGATTTGAGAGGATTGAATGAACTTGTTCAAGTATGCCACTCAGTAGTCCCTAATCCAGACACCTAGTAAGCAAGATTCTCCCTGACCATGTGTGGTTCAGTGTGTTTGATTTAAAAGATGCATTCTGGACCTGTCCACTAGCAGAAGACAGCAGAGATATATTTGCTTTTGAATGGGAAGACCCCACTACTGGGAGAAAGCAGCAATTATGATGTAACAATGAACCTCTTTACCACAGGGATTTATAGGATCTCCAAATCTATTTGGACAAATTTTAGAACAGGTGCTTGAAGAGTTTAATCTAAATACAGGAGCAAAGTTATTACAATATGTAGATGATTTGCTGTATCAGGGGAGGAAAAAGAGAAAGACTGAGATGTCACAGTTAAGCTATTAAACTTTTGGGGAAAAAAAAGACTAAGGGTCTCTAAAACAAAATTATGCTTAGTAGAGAAAGAAGTAAAATATCTTGAACATCTAATAAGTGAAGGGCAAAGAAGGATAACCCTAGAATTTGTTTCTGTCATTGTCACTATGTACCTTCCTAAAACCAAATTAGAAATAAGAACATTCTTATTTTGCTAGGTTTGCTAGGATATTGCTGGTTATGGATGAAGAATTTACCCAACACGTAACGTTTTTGTAGGAAAAAATACAAGAGGAAGGAGAAAAAATTGAGTGGATAGGAATCAGCAACAGCAATAAGTCATTGTTTATGAAAGGTATGCTACAGATCTCCTCTGTAAGTCACTGGTTTTGGCAATCACCTGTGTGCAGAGTAGCTATTGCCTTATTAGTGGAAGACAGCAGAAAGCTAATTTTCAGGGGTACTTTAATTGTAGCATACAGAGTCCTCTCTTTTCCAGGATGAACAACCCCTGCTCTCTCAGCCTGTGCTCACAGGACAGGGGCTCCAGCCCTCTGACCATCTCCAGGGCCTCTTCTGGGCCCTCTCCAACAGCTTCACATCATTCTTGTCCTGCTGAGGGCAGAAGCATCTCCCTCAGCCTACTGCCCACGTTTCTTTTGAAGCAGCCTGGATTTCACTGGCTTTCTGGGCTATGAATGTCACTGTTGACTCATGGCCAGCCTTGCATCCATGAGAACCCCTAAGTCCTTCTCTGTACAGCTGTGCACAGCCGAGGTGGGGAAGGCTCTGCAACAAAAATCTGAGGGAGCTGGGGATGTGTAGCCTGGAGAAAAGGAGGGTCTAGGAGAACCTCATTGCTCTCAACAACTCCCTGAAAGTAGATCTGATATTTGGGAAAAGCTTCTTCCTGGAAAGGTTTGTCCAGCACAGGAACAGGCATCCCAGGGATGTGGTGGAGTCACCATACCTTGGAAATATTAAGAAATGCTTCAAGTGCCTGGATGCAGCACTTGAGGACCTTGGTTAGTAGTGACCAAGGTGATGGCACTGGGCTGGTGGTTGGACTGGTGATCTTAAAGGTTATTGCCAACCTTAACAACTCCATGATTTAGGTACTGTTTGTAATGTAAGGAACTGTCACTATATATTAAAACATATTCACACATACATATTGTATGTGATAATCTCTGCTCAACATACAGCATCTCCTCTTGCTTGAGGCAAAGCAGTTTGCAGGGAAGTTACTTTCACCCTTTGCATCTTCCTGCATCAGATAGGCAGTAGAGCACTCTGACTTTTTGCCATAACATCTGATATCCTCTCTTAATGGGATGGTACACTGATGCTGTCTTCCATTTCCAGGGCCCTCTGCACACCATTGTTAAAACAATTACAGAGATTTTTTTTTCCTACTGAAGAACTGCATAGAGGTCTCAAACTATGTTTCAGCTGGGAACATGCTATTAGTCATCACATGAGATAAAAGACTGCTTCCCATATGTCTTCTGATGCTTGCCACATTTACAGGTGTCTTTGCCTTGGATGGCCATGCCTTCTTAAGAAGAGAAGAGATAGGTGGGCCTGATGTTCTCCCTGCAATTTGTGGGTGTAGCTAGCCAACATTGAAGATTACCAAACTATTCCACGCTTTGAAATCCCTCACCAGATCTTGCTGCCTGAGAAACAAAGGAAATAATGCAGCTTTCTTATTAAAATGAAAGAATAATAACTGAATAATGAATATCTGTGATTAAAATCCCCAGTATCACAGCCCCATCTAATGGACTGGTTGAAAGATATTCAAAGGACCTACAAAAATTCTATCTGTTCTCTAGCAAAATACGTTATCATGATAAACAGGACCCTGTGGCATATTAAACTCTTAATTATGGCACAGGAGGCATTTTCTGTGAAAATTAAAGAGGTTGCAAAATGGCTACAGCCTCTGGAAGGCAATTCTTAGAAGCAAAATATAACTCAGTGTTAGTGACTCCTTTATCTACTTCCTTCAGTATTCTCTTGGCACGGATTAATGTGGAGAGGGGAGTCTCCATATTTCTTAGTCATGTTATCATTATGCCAATGCCTCTGGAATGCCATAATCCTACAGAGCAGCACAGGCCCAAGAGAAAACACAATGAAATCACCGAGAGAAGAGAGATATCAGTTAATCCAAGCTTCATTTGCTATTGTATATTTGAGACCTTTTTTTTTTTTTAAATTTATGAAAAAATGGCAGACGATGTGTGGCTTCCAGAGAAGTGGCTTGGCCTGCACAGTGTCAGTCTTGGGGAAGATTAGCCCCAGGGCTGCCTGTGCTACATGCTGTGGGATACATCACTGTAAACCTTCCTAATCCTAAGGCTGGTTACCAGGCTTTTATGTCTCATAACCAAAACCTAGTGGATCAAACCTCACTAAATAGGTACTGGCAGCCGGATGAGTTTTACATGAGTCATGAGTTTTACATCTTAATCCAGAGCTCTGAAGGGAAGCAGGAGGAATCTTTTTGTTTCATTGGGTGATGGATGGAGTAAATACTAATTTCTAAGCGCCTACAAAGTAATTTTTGTGACACTAGGTCACTAGGAATTTCTAGTGCTTCTTCCTTGGAGCTCCTTAGCTTCTCCAGCAGTGACAACTGAAAAAGTACTTCTTCCCAGATGACTCACAGCTCTGAGCCCACATCACACTCAGGAGTGCTAATTAGGCCCCTTACCCCTGGAAACAGGAAGAATTAAGCAGCAGAAGCCCTTTACAAATGTTCTCATCCTGAGAGCCCACTTTCTTTTCTCTTCTGAAGGTTTCCATCACTTTGCTCACCTTGTTAAGAAAAAAGCTCAAGCAAGATGTCCTAACATTTCCTGTGTTCCTGAGAGTGCATGCCCAGACACAAACAAGGACTTTTTACTCCAAATCCGTAATTACCACTGTGTTCCACAGAAGTTCTGAGCTGGGTATCTGACTGCAATATTTATCACACAGCATACCTTAGGGCCTAGTATGGACTTTGGTAAGTGGACTCTTCAGGCCCCATAAAGCCTGGTCAAGGAATAACTGAAGCAGAAACATCTACTCAACTTAACTTAAGAGACTCTCAAGTAAATCATTACTTAAGCCAAGTTCATTTTGGGGGAGAGATCACTTCAGATGGAGAAAATGTGATTTTCTATGCTGACCTTGGATGCCTGTGGGGCTGGAATGACATGGTGCAATCATTAATCTTCTGGAAGTAGAACTATTTTAGCATCCACAAAAGTTCCCTTGCCCTGACCAAGTGCCAAATTCCCATTTGAAACAGTCTCCTTGCTGGACCTGTACACAAGGAAACACTTCAGGGTTCATTTGGGAAATGTTTTTGCTTGGGTTAATGGCTTTTCCAGGAGACTGACTCTTCTGCTTTGGATTGATTCACCCCCAAGAGGCTGTGGGGTCCAAGAGGGCTACTCCAGGGCTTGGGCGCTGCAGTGAGCTGTATGGTCACAGGAACAGGGCCTGCAGGCACACTGGTGGCTGAGCTTTGTGTCACCTCCTCCAGAGCCACCACAAAGCAGGAGCAGAAAAGGCAGATGGATGGCACCATCCCTGTTAGTGACCAGCACTGTCTCCTAAATTCCACATCTAGAACAACAGACTCAGCTAGCTGTAAGATCATTAGGTGAAAGGAGGCTGAAGCAGTCAGGATTTCTCTATGGGGTGAGCCCCAAATTCTGGCCCTGGTCGCTGCATCGTGGCAGATGCTCCACTCCGGAGCAGTCATCAGAAAACAGGGGCATCTAGTGGCTGCGCCAGAAAGTTCAATAAACACCACCATTCCCTTGAAAAGATGTCAGAGATTGCCTTTCTCCACTCTCAGCTCTGTAAATAAAAATATTTTATGCCATTAGATTACCTGAAAAGGAAGGGAGAGGCACAAGTCCTTGTCAGATTTCATGCTAAAAGGGTAAAGCTGGGCAGCAGGAGCAGAGCACAGTGAGGCATTGCAGGGCTCCTCTTTCCCTACTCTGGGGAGGGGGCCCCATGTTTTCCTTCTGGACAGGTACCTTCCAGATCCCTGAGGGTTTTCCCCTGCAGGGAAGTAAAAGGAGATTATCAGAAATGCAGGTGAGAAAGTATTGTTTGCTTTAGTCCCAGAGATGTTACAGCTCCAGGTATAATTCCCTCATGCAATTCTCTGAGCCTGAACATGCAGCCCTTGCACACAGCACTTTTCAACCTATTCACATCCTAGGAATTGCAAATAGGACTATCTGGTCACTAATTGCCCCTGGCAGTGATAGCTTTCTGTCCCTCTTGATCTATTAGGTTCTCATCAGCATCACTGGCTTAGTGTGATCTGAATTTACCTGAAACGCTCCCTAATGTGTGGACAGAGCTGGCACATTGCAAAGGGACTGTCACGCAGGAGAGTTCCAAGTTTTCATATTCAATGGCTAAACAGAGGACAGCCCAGTCCCCTGAATTGTCAGACATCTGTCAAATGCAAAATTCATTATTTTATTAAGCAAAAGGTGTAAGGGAGAAAGCACAAAGCAAAGAACTGAGGGCTGAATGCTAATAGGGCTATTGCTGTTATGCAATTCTCTACAGAAAATCAAGACAAATGATAATACTGGAAAGGCATATTATTATTTTATAGGCTTAGTCCCAAAGTGAGAGGAGGAGAGAAAAAACATGCACAGCTGTTTTTCCCTTTTCTGGCCACTTTGATGCACTTACAGGATAAATAATTTTGCAAGGTCTGTACGTGCTCCCCGAGTCACAGCTCAACTCACTGATAAAATTCAAAGCTTGCATTCCCCAGACAACCTGTTTCATGCATAGATGTGCATTCTATGTACAAATACTGTTTATTTTGGTGAATTTAGCAGTCTGGCAGTCAGCTAAGGAAAGAGAGATTCTGCAAGGAGGTTACTGCTGTGGCTGCAGTTCAGGTGAACACAGCTCAGCTCAGATGAATACACACACAAACCCAGCTGGCAGTGGGTCCATGCAGAACAGAGTATGCCCACAAAGGCAGGGAAATAAATCAGTCCTGAGCCCAAGCTCAGCTGTGCTGGTTGCAGCAGAGGATTGGACTTAGCTCAGGTGTATCATGAGGATCAGTGATCCTCTCCTTTTCCTGCTCTACAATAAACAGACTTACAGAGTGGAGGAATATTTGAAAATCCTATTTATCTGCTGTCTTGAGGGTTTTTTATGACTATACCCACACACACAGAGAAAAATTTCATAGAGATATGATGTGCCAGATGAGGAAACACTGATAATAATTTTGATAGCAAAGCTTTTGGCTAAATGGCTTTTAAATGGAAGTTCAGCCTTGGGATCAGTTACAGAACAGTTACATGTGAACAAGGGCATTTTTATTTGTATCTCTGCTCCAGTGTGGAAAATAGTTACTGTGATGGTCTTCCCTTGGTGCACATCAGAGGATGCCATGTGGGCACAGACCAGCCCACAGAGAAGCAGCTGTCCAGATAGCATTTCCTTTTCCATTGGCTCCAGCCAGCTGCATGGATCTGGTCATCTTTTAATACCTTTAATTAAAACAAAACACCTGAGAAAGCAGCACACAAATGTGACAGGGAAACTGGCTCTTCTGCTCACTCCTTGTGAGAGGAGTTGGAGGAGGTCACTGCAAGACCAGCAAGGGCCTGTCTCACTGGAACTGTGGCGTGGGCAGTTTCATTTTCCAAATGAAACTGCCTTGACACCACTGTACATGGCACCAGGGACTTGCTGCTGAGTGGGCAGGTGCACCTTGGCTGGAGAAGACACATGGTGATTGAGTTTGTCTCCACTGGCTGCTCTGAACTCACCTTTATCTCTGCAGTTGTTGACCTGACTTAATGCTTGATTTCCTTATGAGTGGAATAAGCCAAGCAGCATTCTGATGGTAGAAATTGGTCGTAGTATGCAGGGACTGCTTCTTGCTCCCTCTTTTTCCTGTGCAGCAGTGAGAACTTTGTGGCTCTATTCAATATGTAAGCATCCTCTGCATAGCCTCAATCCTGGAATGGCAATATTTACAGTAGTGAGTTTAAAACCCCCTCAAATCCACTAGAAGACCATCCTGGAAAGCAGCTCCACTTCTCAGGATAGCTACTTGCCCCACCCAGCTCCAGAGCTTGGACAAGAGCTTGACATTGGGCAATGGCAGAGAGCTACCACAGATCACTCACAATAATTAACTCTGAGACCACTCTCTTGGCAACCGTCCACCAACACAGCCACCACAGCTCAGGTGACAACTCTGCCATGTGTTAAGCTGCAGGAGCCCACATGTGTGTCTGAGCTGCAGTGAAATGTTAATATTTTAAACATTTTGATCTATTGCTTATCCTCCAGCCAAACAAGAAGGTCTTTTTCATCTACTTTTAATTTCTTTTTCCATGCTGCTGAAAGCAGTAGGCATCTGCTGCGGTGATGAATGACCTTGCTGAGCCCATATAAAAGCCAACAGTTCTTGATAGTCCAGTTCAGTCTGCTTTCTTCAGCAAGAGCTGCAGGCACTCTGCTCCAGTTCTTCATTGATCATTGCAGATAC